CCACCCTGTAAATTATATTTTGTGTGAACCGAGCTATAATCATTAGGTAAGTCGACCTGTCATATATTTCTAATGAAAATTTATAAATATGTTATTTTTTAAAGTATGATATTAATTTTACATTTTGTATATCTCATGAAAATGTATAGTTGACTAACCACTAAAAAGTCTTACTATAGTGGTTAAAAAAAAGGGATATTGTATTTGTGTTTTATAGAGTTCAGTGTATACTATTCATGGCATTTTACCCAAATAATGAAACAAATCAAGTACAAATGAATGATCATAAATTAAAATGCACATTGAGAATTATTTTTTCAATAAAAAATGAAATAAAATATTACCTCCAATTATTTTTCAATAATAACTCTCGTGCTTCTAAATATTTAATTAAATACTAACTAACAAGTGTTCAAGCATCCAGTGAAAGTCAAATTCCTATTCTAGCTAACACCTCCTACATAATCTTAAATTAATTTTACCTCGCAATTTAGTCAGTCCCCCACATTTATTTTATTTTGAAAATTATGCTAGTCTCTCTTTTTTTTTTTCTCTTTTTTTTTTTTTTAAAAAAAAAATAGCAAAATCTACACAAATGAACACCCAACAGATAAAATAATTACTTCATTGTACTACTTTACTAGTACAACGCCCGTGTATTACACGGGTGGTTGCTAATTTTTTCCTTAAAATCTAAAATTAATGAGAAAAAATAGGTGAAAATTTAAATACTTTTATAAAAACATATATATATATTATATATAATATTTTTAGTATGACACTTGTTTTGTGTGACTTACTTGTGTTATATTATAATAATTTTTTTAACTTACAACTTATAACTACATTAAACATAAATACATCAACTGAGTAATAATTTTATTTTTCTAGTAACTTTAATAAATATTATTATTTTTTATTATTATAAAAATGAATATAATTTATTTATTTGATATATACAATATGGATGTCAATTCGAAGATCATGAAAACATGATTAATTTGATATATTATATATGTAAAACCGATAAGAAATACAAAAGTTATCAACTTTTAAAATACATTTATAATTTAACAGCTATTGAAGGAAACAAATCAAAAGTCAAGGATATTTTAGTCACTTAATGTCTCACTATGTAAAATTATAACGAATTAAAGGGTTATATTAGGATTTTTTACAAAAAAAAAAATCAAATGTTAAGTTGAAGACAAAAAAAGAAAGGAAAAAGGGGGAGTAGAGAGAAATAAAAAGAACGTATTTTACAAATACGTTTCTACATTTTTTAATTGTAAAACGTATTCCGTGAATACGTTTTCTTTTGTAAAAAAATGTGAAAAACGTATTTAGTGAATACTTTTTTTATTAAAATATACAGAAAACGTATTTTGTAAATACGTGCTTTTTTATGTTGGTCCACTACCTTTTTTTTGTTGTTTTTTGTCCACTTATTATTTTTTTATTAATAAATATATAAATTACTCGTTATATTAGTACAAGTGATATTAAAATACCTAAGTTAGCTAAATAATATTTATGGAATGTCCGAACTTAGATTATTAATTATTAATATATCAATATTATTTGTCCAAACCTAATTACGAACAGTGTTCTAGAAGTCGCTAAGCGCCCGCTAGGCGCCCGACCAGCGCCTAGCGTCTAGAGCGCCTAGTCGGGGCCTAGGCGGCGCCTAGGCGGGGCCTAGAAATTATAATAAATATATTATTTTTTATTTATTTTTACAATTTCACTAATGAAATTATAATTTATAATTAATAAATTCATACACCTAAGTCCCAATAAAATTATTAATATAATTTTATAAAAAAAAACTCCAACTCAAAATAAGTACATAACCACAATATAACTTCTTCTCATTATAATTTTATCAAACACATTATCTACATGTTATGTTTTAATATTATACAACATAAGATAAATATAAAAAATTATAAAATAATAAATTATAAGATTTATTATTTATACTAAATGCATTTAGTAAAAAAAAAAAAAATGTAAAAACCGCCTAGAACCCGCCTCGGCCGCCTAGAACCCGCCTCAGCCGCCTAGTCCCGCCGAAACCGCGTAGCCGCCGAGGCCGCCTACCTCCGCCTAGGCCCGACTAGGCACCGCCGAGCTCGCCCGGCCGATTTATATGGCCGATTTGGCCAAATCGTAGGCGTTGTACCGGCGCCTAGCGCCTAGGCGGCCGCTTAGGCCGATTTTTCGAACACTAATTGAAGCATGATTCTTCGCCAAGTAGGATTCCGAAGCACCAGAAGCAGCCACGTAGATTCAGCGCATTCGGGAATTATATATAGATGGGATAGGACTAACCGACTAGTTATAATTTTTAAAAAAAAAAAAAAAAAGAATACATATTTGTTTTATAAAATATTATACTTTTGCTTATATATTTATTAAATATGACATTGTACTATTTTAGTTTAAAATTAAGTATATTTATTAGAAAAGTATGACTACCCCTAACAACAATTCTACTTTTTTTTATATAATAATTAAATATTTTTTTTGGGTAGCCAGCCACAGTATCTATATATATATAAAAAGAATTATCATTTACTAAAAATAGTAGCAAAAATTTAGGAAACATTTAATGCATGCTATTTTTGAAATTTTTTTTATATATGCATTAATTGCTTCTATTTACACGTTCTCAAATAAGATCAAATAATTACTTAAATAAATTATTAATATCTGCAGTATTTTCATTTATATTTATTATATTAAATTACAAGATTGATTTTCGTGATTCATGTTGATAATATTTTTGTCAAGACAAATATTATTTTATTAATATTTATAATACTTTCATTGATATTCATTATAATGAATTACAAGATTGATTTATGTAATCCATGTTGATAATATTTTGGTAAAGATAATATTACACCATATTTTAAGTTCTAACCATAATATTAGTTTTTCTTCACAAATATTCACTTTTTTATCCAAAAATATTTATGAAAAATCGTAACAAATTAGCTAGAATTTTTTTTTCCAAGTAATCAGACAAAATCAAATTGGTGAATTAATATTTGTCAATATATTTGTTTCTTAAACTTTATTTTTTTAAATATAAAAAATAAATCATTTTTCAAATTAATATGATTTACCATTTAAGAGATAATGACCAGATACAATAAATAGTTTTACTAATGATAAAAAATTAAAATTGAAACATATTAACTATTATTTAGCATTTATTTGTATATTATTGGCACCCATGACTATATTTTTTCATTTTTTTATTTTGATTTATTTATATAATTAAATTCTTGTAAATATATTTTCATTGTTGAGTATGCTAAATAAACCATAAATCCTTATAATGCGAACTAGAAAAATCTTGATCATATAGGGGATCGATTTTTTAGGATTTTCTAAATCAAAGTTGTTTAATTAGTATATAAAATTAAATTCTAAAAAAATATGTGTACATTTTGTAAAATATTTATACACTATTTAATATTAAATTTATTTACATATTTTAAATTGATTACATAAATAAATAATACAAACGTGCATTAAATATTTTTCATTACATAAAATAAAAATATAAAGAAGACGTACAACTTTTATAACTTTATAAATAATAATGACATTATATGACATAAAGTGTATAATAAAATAATAATTAAGTATTATATAGTGAACGAGAATAAGTAAAATTGTTATTCTCTCTTGTATCATGGAATAAATATATATATTAAAATCAAATTTAAATTAGGATAAATGTGTTAGTGAAATAATATATTAATTATTTTAATATTTTGACGTTGATTAAAAGAGGTGCAAAATATATTATAACCTTATTGTTTATTATACTTAAAGCTGATTAAAAGAGATGAAAAATAGATGATAATCTTATTGTTTTATATACTTAAACGGACAAAGCATGTGAAATAACATATTATTTTTGTCCTGTACATCGTACGGAGTACGTACTAATTTGGAGTTATGCCCTGGAATAATTTGTTGGTCGACCCAGATCGCATTCCTGACAGCGGTGGGTGAGTCTCTCCAAATTGGTGCTTTTACACCCAAACCCACTTCATATATTCTTCCAACCGGACCAACCCACTTCTTGTACTGTCTTCAAAACTAATCTGCAGCACATATTGACAAAAGGGTTCAGTTGTTTGGTGGGGTTTTTCTTTTCTTTTTTTTTTTTTACAAAAAAACTATTTTTTTATATTTTCTTGATCAATTGCTTCCATTTCATGATTCTGAAAGAAAGAGGTGAAAAGAGGGCTCTTTTTAACAACCTTCATTCATTATTGTTTGATTTTAAACTAATTGGTGCTTTGACAAACGAAACCCACTTCACATATTTCAACCCGTATCTTATACTGTCTTCAAAGCAAATCTGCAGCACATATGCCAAAAGGGTTCAATAATTCGGTGGGGCTTTCTTCAAAAAAAGACTGGATTTTTATTTTTTATTTGTCTTCATCAATGGCTTCCAATTCAAGATTCTGAAATAAAGGGGCAAAACTGAAAAGTGGGTCTCTCTTTTTAGGGGTAGAAAGAACAAGAGAGATGTTGGTAACGGCAGCCCACAATTGCCACTGTTCAAATTCAAAGTTCAGTCGACATTAAAGGAGGTTTGTAAAGGGAAAATCACCGTTTGCCGTCTTTTTTTTCTAACTGCCGTTATGCTTTATTCATTTTCTTGCATTTACTTTTGTGTTTCTTTGCTTAGCTTTTGCTATTTTTTTTGTATCAATACGGTGACATTTGCTTCTTTTTCTTGTCTTTATTCTTTTTGTAGTCAAGAATTCTGACCCAGTTTCCCAACAAAAAACAAAGAAATAAAGATCCCCCATTTGTTCCTCTTGCAAAAATTTGTTGTTAGAACCATGAATCTCTGAATTACTGTTGAATTCTTCATTCTTGACAGGCCAGTTTAACTTCAAGCAGCAGCATTTTTCTGTGCCAGCAAAAAAAGAAAAAAAAAGGGTAAGCTAAGGAGGAGAGAAATGGATCATATATCGATTTCTGATGAGAATTGTGATTTGGGACATCAGTTTTCTCCTTCATCTTTGGATCAAATCGACCAATCACCATCCACAGAGACTTCAAGCCACTCGATTGCGAGTGCCGACTCGTTTTCCTACTGCCGGACTAATTCCGAGGCCTCGGCCGCATTTTCAGAGCCAACTGACGATAGCAATAGCTATGCTGATGTGGCATCCCCGCGCAGCTGGCAAGGGCTCAAGTCCCCGGCTCGTGCTGCGCTGTACAAATTAGGGATGAGGCAGCACAAGCATGGGTTAGATGATGAGATTATGAATTTAGGTGAGTTTTCCTCCTTTTCTTTTCCTCTACTTTGGCATGTGATAGATAGTTTTTTGATAAAGATTTCAGCCTTTTCCCATGTCTTATTTTTTTATATGGTTTTTTATGTATATGTCATGGGGTGTATGTGATGATCTGTATTGTGTTGGCACAGAGAGTATAATGCTTATCAAGATTGGAGCTTTTTTGTGTGTTCTGTTGGTTATGTGGTAAGAATATTTTAGGTTTTGTCATGAGAAGTTGAGGTTTATGTGACCACTTCAAGTTGACTATTGACATGTTGCTAATTTCTTAAGGTTAAGATTCTCATCTTTATTGTGTTGGCACAGAGAGTATACTTCTTATAAAGATTGGAGCTTTTTTTGTGTGTTTTTCTTGGTTATGTGGTAAGAATATATGTGATATTGTTTGGTTTGTCATGAGAAATCAGTCGAGGTTAATGTAACCACCTCAAGTTGACTGTTGACATAATGTTAATTTCTCGTAAGTATAAGATTCTCATCTGTATTTTTATTTGTTCTTTTTTTCCCCTTTTTGCATGTTACTTGTCTTGAAAATTGAAGTACTTGAGATTTGGTTGATATTGCATGATTAGTAAGCTAAATCGGAACATAGCAATTTTATTACAGAGTTAGAGTTGATGAAGGAGAGATTTTCTAAATTGTTGCTTGGGGAGGACATGTCTGGGAGTGGCAAAGGGGTTTGCACGGCTGTGTCCGTCTCGAATGCCATAACAAACCTCTACGGTAATCTTCCTTTTCTTTTCCCCCGAATAATTCTGTTTTTAATTTCGAAGAATATTTATTATGGCTTTTGTTTGACTATTAGCCGATGATAGCTAATTGTATTAGCGGATTACATGCAACTGATTGTAAATCGCAGTAAATTTATTGTTGTTGCGTTGCATTGCGTTTTTCTTGACTTTACTTTTGAGCTTTTTTTGTTTTTGTTCCTTTTTTTTTCAGAATTAGCCTTTTGGGTCCAAAAAAGTAATCGAATAAGCTCTTTAAGTTAGCGGATTTGATTAACAAACAAACGAGTCCTATAATTTTTTCAAGATTTACATTTTTTTTTTCCGTAAATTATGCTTACACTTTGTATCTGATGCAAATGCAGCATCTGTGTTTGGTCAGCACCACAGATTAGAGCCTCTGCACCCAAAAAAGAAATTAATGTGGAAAAGAGAAATGAATTGTCTTTTGTCTGTGTGTGATTACATAGTAGAATTCAGTCCCACACTTCAGACTCTTAAAGATGGGACTACCTTAGAGGTAAACAGAAAAACTTTCCAATTTTCCATTTTCATCATTCTCTTAATAAGGCAAAGTTATTATTATTATTATCATTTAAATACGTATTATAAAGAACGATTGTTCCGACTCTGCAGGTAATGGCGAGCAGGCCGCGATCAGATATTTACATCAACCTCCCTGCCTTGAGAAAACTCGACACGATGCTCGTGGTAAAAATATGAAAATTTTATCCCCGTCTACATTTCGGTTATCTTACAGGATTACA